GACATGGTTGATGTTGACGGTAGTGGAGGAAATAGCGTCGTTTAATTAAAAATTGCAAGCGCTAAATTGCAGTGGATTTCAAAATGCACGCCGGTGATGAATGTATACTTCCGTGCCCGGCACACCACACCCAGTATCCCTGTTTCTGTAGGGCTGTGGCTACCAAGTCGTGCTCTGCCCACCTATGCAGCACGCATTCCTTTACACCGGCGACAAAGACGCAAACAAACACGTCATATATATGCCCCGGGCCCCGCACACCCCCCCCCCCCCCCTTTGGACGCCCCTGCCAACCAGGCTACGGACACTAGGTACGGTGCGAAAGACGTTCAGCACACATGCATACATGCTACTGGTGTTTGCGTTGCGTCCACGTGGCCTGACGCCGATGGGGACGCGGAGGTGGGTGGAGTGGCGTGGCGGGGAGGTGGAGCAGAGGCACGAACGGCTCACGGCAGAATTCTCAAGCTCCTCTCCCAGAGAAGTATCGATCCTTTCGATCTGTGCCAACTTAATTATTTGCTGATCGCCCATACGCAACCATCGCCCCCGCCCCGACGCGAGCCGCAGAGCGACTGTCCCGCGGGGCCACTTGGCCCTCTGGGTCACAGCCGATCGATTCGCACACACACACACACAAGGATAAAGATCACCCGTATAGCCTTGACAGACTGTTGGGGTAAGTGCTGCTAGCGAGTAGCACTTATGAAGGCCGGCAGAGCACACAAGGGGGCGGGTGGACAGCACCACGCTCGGCCGCCTTTGTCTCCCCAGTGGCGATGTTTACACACCGCACCAGGTACTCATTTGTGTCGGAGTCAACCTAGGAACCAACCAACCGCTGCACCACCGCTCCCCGCATACGTCCACATATCCACTGCGTTGACGAACATTGCTCCGTGAATGTAGTGGATTGAGCAGCCTCTCGTGGCTGCAGGGGTCACGTGAATCTCGTATGCACAACAGAGACAAATCTGACAACGTCGATGCATCCGCGTGCAATGTGATGCATGTATCACGAGCTTAGGGATCGATATGAAGTCATGCATCGATGCATGACTACACCCCCAACGACACCGCACGCCGTGCATAATCCCTCTGTCAACCCACTGCTGTAGAGCCGCCTCCCGACATCGCATCGGTCATGGGAGTTGTTTGACCAGACTTCACCAGCAAGCTGAATGGAATTCAAAAGAACTCACAAACACACAACTTGCCAAATACGAAGATCCCTGATTCTGATCTTACACGAAGCTCCTGGCCCACCCTAAGCCGCACCCACGACACAAACCGTGGCAGATGTGGATACCTGATGCACAACTGGAAATGAAATACTCCCCAGTCTGCGACTGCGGTCATCCAGAACGGACCGTACAACGTGTCATCACAGCGGCGACGATACACTCGGAAACTTGACGAGGTTGTCTGGCTTGACCTCCTGCATGTGACATTGTAGTTGTCGCTCTGTGTCTGCATCTACTCCCACCTCGGCTTAGCACGGTGGGCTACGTACAGTGCGAAAGAAGTTCAACATGCATAGCACGTTTGCCTACGTACGGTGCGAAAGAAATTCAACATACATCGGCCGTACGAAAGAAGAAGATGATTGTCCGTGCGGGTTGGTGGAGTGCGTGGCGACGGTGAATTGAACGCAGCGCCCTAACATGTGCGAAAAAAGAGCTTTATAGCTAATCGGATTCCTCAATTTTGTCGATCAATATTCAGGTGGTTGCCCTAACCGTGACATGAACGGGGAAGTAGAATCTCCTTCACTGCGCTCAGTGAAGGAGATTCTACTCAGCGCTCTTTACTAATTTTCAGAGGGGGGTGAGGGGGGGGGGGTCACTTTCGTCGACAAGACATCATCAGTGTGAGGACCGCCACACATCTGAAACCATTTGGGGGTTTGACAGCAGCACGCGGTGATGGTGTGTTCACGCGTTGTGTCATGTCGGGGGCCGCACTTCAAGGGCCGCACGGAGGCCGCCAAGGGCCGCCAGTTGCCCGCGGGCCTTGCAACGAAGGACCCTGGACTAACTGGATTACATTTATCTCCTAATCCCAAACTGGTACGAGTTTTTTAAATGAAGTTTAATATCAAACCGACTCCACGCGCATGAAGTAAGTAAATAAATAAAACCGCAGCAGCTGCCATAATGACCGCCTTGCACTGACGTCACAATGCATCGACTCATCGATTAAAAGTGATAGCTCGCGTTCAGGATCGATTATGTGAGTATGGCACAAACGCTTCTCTCTCTGCTTCTCACCTCTTCCCATCATCGCCACTGTCTTTGCCTTAGGCGTGCTCACTTCAACCATTGCTCGCTACAAGAAGCGTCGTTAACTCTCTCTCTTTCTCCTCTCTTCTGTCAAAACTCTGGTGGTGCTGTTAGTTGCTGGCCTTTGGGCACCGCGCTCAGCAACTGTGGTTTAAAAATCAAACGAACAATAAAAATTATCATGTGACCCGCGCAGCCACTGGTGGGCGCTACATTTTTTTCAATAAATATTTATTGAAAATATAATTGGTATATTGAATTCAAATCGCAACTGTGAGAAAGTTATTTATTTATCGAATCGTCAGGACAGTAAATTGTTGCACGCCTACTGCTCTGCAAAAGTAATATATTTATGTATAACAAAATGTATCTTAAACTGTATAACACAAGAGGGCTAACGTTTCGGGCGATGGGCCTTAATCAAAGCGGAGATGATTGAACAGAAGGATTGACTGAAAGGAAATACTTCAATTGATTAGGCCGATGTGTGTGTGTACAACACGTGTGTGTGTGTACAGCACGTGTGTGTGTGTGTACAACACGTGTGTGTGTGTAGAGCACGTGTGTGTGTGTGTACAACACGTGTGTGTGTGTAGAGCACGTGTGTGTGTGTAGAGCACGTGTGTGTGTGTGTAGAGCACGTGTGTGTGTGTACAACACGTGTGTGTGTACAACACGTGTGTGTGTGTGTACAACACGTGTGTGTGTACAACACGTGTGTGTACAACACGTGTGTGTGTGTGTGCAACACGTGTGTGTGTGTGTGTACAACACGTGTGTGTGTGAGTAGGAGTAGATGTGGATCGGTAGTGTAGCGCTGAGCGCACTGTGCTACAAACCCAGCTATCCGAGTTCGAATCCCGCTCACGGCCACTGACAACATCAGTGAAAGTCGCCTGGTTCGATTCCTATCTCCCGATGCGGCAGCTGAAGAAATCCCCCCGTCCCCCCCCCCCCCCCCCACAAAATTAAATTGCCTCGGTCCACCGAGCAGTGCAGATGGGTTCACCACAGCTTGTGTATCGGTAGGTCGCGTGCGGTGGGGCAAAGTGTGGGTACGGCCACCTCTTCTAAGATAGTCCCGTCAGGGTGGAAGAGTAGACCAAACACCCTCGAGGTCACGGTTCTTCATTGCAAGGGCTACGGGCCACTGACGGCCCCAGTGGTGGCCTTTAGTGCGGCCCGCGACAATCCACACAAATGTGCTGCTGTCCACCATCGCGCTCCTGTCCAAACCCGAAATGGTTTTAAATGAGTGGCGGTCCTCGCTCTGATGATGTCTGATCGGCGAAAGTGGCCCCATCCCCCCTCTGAAAATGAGTCGAGAAACGCCGCTCTGGAGCGCCGCTCTTTGCGGAGCCTCTTCCGTCAGTCGAGGCGTGATGGAGCAATTGCAGGGCTCGCCCCCATTCACCTTGCCACTGAGAAACCACGGAAACTTGGGCCGCCGTGCGGTTTGTCGGCTTCTCGCGTGCCGATCTGTGCAAGTCATGACTGTCGATCACCGGTGCCCGGCCGTCGGAACCGGTGATCGATTATGAAAACGATTCAACTAAAATACGCGTGAAATCTCTAGCCCTTCTATACCGTGATAATTTCACATCGGTTAGTCACGCGGTTACGATATTCTATAGCATTTAACTTATTGTGTTGCTGCTGCTATTGTTGTTGCGTTGGCAGTGGTGCACAAACACAAATACAAACTACACATTCTTAAATTATAACACTGTGGCCTCAGAATCATATTTTAAACACCGACGTCTCAAGCGAACACCCTTCATCGAGTGATGCCCCTTATTCATGTCGCACATAAAGTATGCCCTGAAGCATGGTCATTACCCGAAACGTCGCCAATTACATGTTTTTTTTTCCGGTTAAGGCTAAGGTGTTGTTCTGGAGTATTACATAGACACACATTCGCCATACACACCCTGCAGACAGTATTCTGTATACACTGATATTCATTACAATTCAGTAATTCCACGACAGTATATTTTAGCAGGACTCTATTGGGTGCATTGCAATACAAAGACAGACATCCCCCGTATATCATTCACAGACTTTTTGGCCAATTGCTGTTAGCGAACACTTATGTATGTATTGTCTAGGTTGAACTTCTGTCGCACCGTACGTAGCCACCTGCACTAGTGGCGATGCTTTCACACCGTACCAGGTACTTATTTGAGGCTAAGTCGACCTAGAGGAGGCCCAAGACATGTTCAAGATAACCGTCACCGGTATTGGCTGTCGTGAGCGAGAATCGAACTCGGGTCACACACGCACACATACACGTGCACACACGCACACATACACGTGCACACACGCACACACACACACGTGCGTGCACACGCTCACACGTGCGCAGACACATATACACTCTCTCTCACGAACACGTGCACAGATATCAACACGCACACTTGCACACTCACTCGAACCCACACTCACGCACAGACACGTGCTCACATATTCACACTCTCACCAACACTCACAAAGATCCCCCGTATAGCCGTAACAGACTGTTGGAGCAAGTGCTGTTAGCGAGCACCTATGAAGGCCGGCACGGCACACGAGGGGGTGGGTGGCCAGCACCACCACGCCCGGCCGCCTTTGTCTCCCATCGCATCGCACTCACACACACACACGGTCACACACAGAGCAATTCACACACACTCACCTACACTCACACACAGACTGTCGCACAGACAGGTACACACTCACCTACACTCACCTGCTCTTCTGACACCGCGGCCGCTGCCGTTGAAGGTGGCATTACGCGCGCCCTTTATCCACACAGGAGCCTTCTTTGGCCGCCTCGCTAAAGAGCCACTAGTGATGGATGTGACGGTCAAGCCTGTGTGTCCCTCCTTCAGGGGTTACCGCACGTGGGAGCCTAAGCTGCCGGACTTGCATCGTGTCTCTCCAGCCGGTGTGCGTGCGTGCGTGCGCGTGTGCGTGCGTGCGTGTGTGCGTCCGCGCGCGCGCGCGCGTGATGCTGGCATGCAACGCAAACACGCCAACGAGGCAGCAGGCAAGGCAGGCAGGTCGCTGCACAAAGTGAGTGATTAATTTGGAGCGTTCCTCCGCCTCCCTGTCCTCCTCCTCCTCCCTCCTCGTCTTCCCCTCCCCCTCCCCCACACGTTCCCTGCACCCATCAGCCACTATCATCCGGCACCATCATTCGACGGTAGCTCGCCCTTCCCTTTCGTCTTACCGTGCACCAGCCGCCACAACCGCAACACTCGACCGTGATCCTCCCCCCACACCCTTTCCTTTGAGTTTCACCATGACACAGACAGGCACAACAAATACCACCCGCACCACCACTACCACCACCACCACCACCACGACTACCAAAGACAAATACAAAATCCCCCGTATAGCCTTTAACAGACTGTTGGGGCAAGTACTGTTCGTGAGCACCTGTGAATGCCGGAACGGCACACGAAAGGGTGAGTGGCCAGCACTACCCCGGCCGCCATTGTCTCCCCCATACTGATGTTTACGCACAGCACCAGGTATTCATTTCAGGCTTGGTCAACCTGCCAGCGCTACCACCCACTACTAGCCCATAGCCTCCTCCTCATCCTCCCCCCCCACACACACACCCGCCCCTCCACCCACCATCCGCCAGGACCATCAGCACCAGTTCGCCCTTCCACCGAATCTTGCCGTACGCCACCGCTCATCAACACAGCCGTGCGGTGCGAGGAGGGAAACATCATGAAACATCACCACGGAGATCAGAGGAAGAGAAGAAATGCCGAAGCGAGGAGATGGAAGGATAACACAGAGACACGGCGGTGACTGGGGTGACAGCAAGGCAGGAGGGAGGGCGTGGTGGCGGTGCTTCCTTCCACAGACAGAAGTCGATCTTAGCAGGAGGGAGACCCGGGCAAATCGACGACATAGCGACCAGCAGGCATCGTAAGAACACGAAGAATCTCGAGCAAAACTCCCACCATCACCCACTCGAACCCTTCTCGTTAATGTAGCCACATGCCATGTCAGCTCTTATCCCACATCCCATCCCCGTTCTTCCCAAAGCTTCGTCCGTCCGTCCCCCCGTTCCCGCCCACAACACCCAGCCACCAGATGAGTCGGCACCACTGACGCATTTCACTGTAGCTGCAAGTAGGGCAGAGATAATCTTCTTGGAGTGTTTGCAACAACGGCTGTAGTGGTGGCTGGAGAATTGCACTTAAAGATGCGTGTGTGTGCGCAGTCGATGTTGGGAGGCTTGGCTCTTGTCCAATTGTGCGCACGGCCAGTGTCCCCACACAGACTCGTGCTTTATTTCAACTGGTAAGGCCCCCATTGAGCCAAACATCTTCATTATTGGCGTAATCGTTACTATCGACGTCCGACATGATCGCTCCACTGCTGGATGAAGGATTCTCCCATAAGTCGTCGCTATCGCTATTCCTCCCATGCAGCAATCACACCGGTCCCGCCACACGTTCAGAAATGTAATAATAAATAATAATTCTAATTTCTAATGCGCATTCCACACTTGGATGCCAAAGCACAATGCATGAAAAGCAGGAAACAAAAACAGAACCAGTGCAAACGATCAGACTAAAGAATGAAGGCCACTTTAAAGAGATGGGATTTCGAAGCAGACTATATCTACGGACTCTGATTGCCTGATTTCAAGTGGTGAGGCGTTCCATAGCCTGGATGCCACGCTAACAAAAGCCCGATCACCAAAAAGCTTTTCCTCCAGTATGAATAACGATTCTGACTAATTCTCATTGTTCCATCCCGAGGGATGACGTAAGTTTGGAGCGTCCCTCTCCCATGACTGCCAGTCGATGACTTACGGCCATGAGGTTTCCTGCCCAAGCCCACTTTGTGTAACAGTCACTATATGGTTGTCTGTGACATCCTGCTTGCATACATAATTCATGCGTTCCCCTCGCTGGCTCTGAGCTTTATTGCGAACAGCAATCTCTTCATGCTTCTTTGCGCACTTTTCAACTTGTGTTCAATTCTACTTTGTTATGGTCCGGTGTTTCTGATCCATACGCTGGCTTATGAAGCATTTTGATGAGGAACACAATTGTAGAGGCATGTACGTTGAACTTCTTTCGCACCGTACGTAGCCAACCGTGCCCATCGGAGGTGCAAACAAGGCAATCGTGCATCTACTGCATAGCAAGCCATGGAATTGCTGATGAGCGCAGAGAGTGTGAAACCGCGCCCAAGGCTGGTCTGGTGGCCGGCACGAGAGTTGACAATTTAAAATAATGACCTTGGGAGCGAGTCAGTGGGAAGGTCGGCTATGTTTTAATCTCGGCCATGTTATTTTACCCTTTTTTTTCATCTAGAAATTCTCTCCAGTTCGCGATACGATGTTGGCCCTGCGGAGTGAAAACAGTTCACATCTCAACACCCGAAAATAAAAAAAAAAATTTTTATATAAATATATATCATTTATCTTTATATAAAGCACTTGAGTATGTTTTCCTTTTAGAGCCGTCAGTTGAAAACAAAATTTATCTTCTGTGTGGCCCCGCGGTTTGGTGATAATACGACATGCATGGGTTTCGAGGGGATTACCCAAAGTCAACACAAGCAATAAACACACGTGGCGTGTTTATTGCCTTTGTGCACGTGCCGCCTTTTTTTGTCAATGCATCGCTGGATGGGGAGGACCTATCCCACGCCATGCGGGTGGTGGCGGCCGATTTGACCATACTTCACCACGCAGCTCAGCGAGTGATGGATGGGGACACGGAGCACGGACGTTGATGAATATAAACCATCGCGAGAACTCCCGTCATCCTCGGCGCAGCAGCGGATTTTGGCTCGCCATCGAACAAAGGCGGTCACCCCCTTTCAGATGCGCTGCTTCTGCTGCCTTCTGGAACGCTCCAGAAGGCAGCAGTGTTTAGTCTGTTTAACACGTAGGCTTTCGCGACCAATATTATTCATAATCAACGTTTTTGGGTTTAGATCGCGTTATTTATAAATGTGTCGTAACCCTCCACCACCCGACACGGCCAATCAGTAAAAAAGTGTCACGTTGACAAAAGACAAATAGTTCACTGCTTTAGCCCACCGGTGTGTTGAAGCGTGAAACCACAACATTTACAATTTGAGTACGACGTTTCGCTGGTAATTGCATCCAGCATCATCGGGCAATTCACCAGAATTCTGGTGTTTAGTCTGTTGTCCCCAGCACCTCCGATTAGCACGGCTGGCGACGTACGGTGCGAAAGAAGTTCAACATACGTTGGACTTCTCAACGTACAACAATGGGGGGTTGCAGCACTGCACTCTGCTGCCCACGGGGTCGCCTCAGGGCAGACTTTAACACGTGTTTTGTGCACGGCCGGTCGCCCATCGAAGTTACTATCCAGGCTCAAACCTGCTGAGCTTCAGCGGTCTGAGCAGGCAGATTCTCGTTGATTTAGTCACGGGTTTTGGTGTATGTACACCGGGTAAATAGCAACTCCACCCACCACCCAAGGATGTGATGAATTGTAATGATTCAGGGTTCCACTTCCATTCTTAATTAATGTTTTGACAATGTTTGGTACCATCTCAATTACATGATTTATCAAATTATTCTGGCTCAAATGTACATTTTGTGAACGGCCATTAGCCTAATTGCAACAATATTGTATCATTTGCCTAAGTCGCAAATACTATAATTGCCGCGCGCGTTATGCGGGGTGAGTATCGTGAGCGTACGAGTCTATCTATATCGACGAATCAATTCAACCACCTGAAATGCTTCAAGCCGTTTAGGTCTCTGAAGCTAAGCAGGATTGAGCCTGGGTGGTACTCTAAAGGGCTACGACTTGCATTAAGATGTGTTATAGGTTGCCACGGGAATGCATTGTGGACGGCAGAGGGCATTGCTGTAGAACCCACAGTTGTACTGTGCTATGCTCCAAGGGGCCGTCCATAAATGACGTCACGCACCTAGGGTGGGGGGGGGGGTCAGACATGTGTGACGATGTGTGACGATGGGGGGGGGTTGAGAAATGTGACGTCACATCCAATTGCGCAACTTTGAATTAATATAGACAACGCGTTCTACTTAATTAAATATACTTTTTAATAAATGTTTTCTCCTACAACATCAGAGTGCAGCGGCACATTAAATACGCACTAAAATGACAATAGTTTAAAGCGATTTGAAGCATGTTTATATATTTTTTTGGGGGGGGGGCAGAGCTTTGTGACGCCATATTTGAGGGGGGGGGGGTCTGACTTTTTGTGACGCCATGTGACGATGGAGGGAGAAGGGGGGGGGTCAAAAATCGTCCAAAATCGCGTGACGTCATTTATGGACGGCCCCAAACTTGTTATGCCGCCGCCGTCAATAACCCGCAAGAGCAATAGGCGCTTCCAGACACGAGAAACAGGTTAGACGCACGAGGCAGTGTTTACAGCAGTGGAAGGAGCAAGGCAACGCACTGTTGAGCGAGAATTATCGGTTACAACACAGTAGACGCCTCGTTTCTGTCCATTGCGAACGCGAGCTTCAAAAGCAACGCGTTCGTTAAGGATTCTTTCGGCCACCAACCACTGCATCACAAGCACCCGTGCTATTATGTCACCAGGAAGCATCGTACGTAATAACCGGCGTCATTGGCAACTTGCGTGACCTTGCGGGAAGTGGCACAGATTTAAAACTATTGAAGGGGCCGTCCATAAATGACGTCACGCGATTTTGGACGATTACTGACCCCCCTCCCCCCACTTTGTCACACGGCGTCACAAAAGTCAGACCCCCCCCTTCAAATTTGACGTCACAAAGCTCTGCCCTCCCAAAAAAAAATGCTTCAAATATCTTTACATTATTGTCATTGTAGTGCGTATTTAATGTGGCGCTGCACTCTGATGTTTAATAGTCTACTTAATTAAGTAGAACGTGTTGTCTATATTTATTTAAAGTTGCGCATTTTGATGTGACGTCACATTTCTCAACCACCCCCCATCGTCACACATCATCACAAATGTCTGACCCCCCCGCCCCCCCTAGGTGCGTGACGTCATTTATGGACGGCCCCGAAGTACCGCAGAGCTTTTTGTCTGGAATGCGTCGCCAAAACAAATCCGACCCGTGTTGTATGCACGCGTATGTTGAGCTTCTTTCGCACCGTACGTAGCCAACCGTGCTCGTGGGAGGTGCGGACTCAAACTTGGATGATCGACAGCACGTGCACACAGCAGCGGGGCAGTGCTGCCGAGTACACGGTTGCATTGTGTGTAGGGGCAAGTGCTGTTAGTGAGCACCTTGTGGAGACCAGCATGGTTTCAATGAGATGGTGGTGTGGTAAGCACCACGCGCAGCCCGCCTTTGTATTCCCAGTGCTGATGTTTACACACCATATCGGGTACTCGTTTAAGGCTAAGTAGACCTAGCGGAGGCCCAGCAGCGGTTCAAATTATTGCGTCAAATGCCTGGAATTGTACTCATCAGGCTCGTAGTGCAGTACGCTAATCACTGACTGACATACGCAGAGATACAAGCGTCCTCGTGTGTGTTTTGTGTGCATGCGTGCATGTGTATGTGTGTGCGTGCATGTGCGTTTTAAGTTATTTCCATCTATAGGACAGATGAATGAATACTCAAGCACAATTAATAATGAATAAGTGGGATGATGTACTGCCAGCTCAGTGTTTGCTGGTGCGTGCGTACTCTCTTCTGCTGCCAAATCTGAGCTTTTACTTTTCCCCTCCTGTGAACATCATCATCGCAACCACCATGAACAGCTATTATTTATCTAACACTGGATGAAGGCCTTCCCACACTATCACCCCCGCACCTCCGATGTACGGTGCTAAGGAAGCTCAACATACATACATCCCTGCGATGCCACAAACCGTCTGGCTTCTTCTCGTTAGCAGATCTCATCTCTTCATTTACATTCTTGCTGGCTGTGTTCTTCGGCACGTTTGCCTCCTTCGGCTGCCGTTCCAGTCTCGTCCAATCGGCCATGATCCTGTCTTATCGACGTGTCCTACCCAAGCCCAATTGTCTTCATCTTCAAGACGGTGTCTCCAATTTGTGTTCGTTTCCTGTTCCACGCGTTCCCCCTTTTTGTCTCTCAGTGGAATTCCTGCAGGAATGCCCCCCTATCCACGCTTGCTCTGCACTCTTCGGCTTATCTTCGGTTATGCTATGTCAGGGCCTACGTTTGTGATCCATATGGCATAGCTGACTCAAAGTATGACGTTGAAATTTCCGAAAGCTCAATTTTTTAACACTTTTGTGATGCTAATGCCGATATAAAATGGGAATAGCCCACCATCGTTACGAGTATATGTATGTAAAACTGCCACTCAAAATTACAAGAACGATCATGTTAAAGGTTTGCCTTTTTTGCTTTGTGCGGTATTGGAGTTTTTTCGCCTTGAACGAGACCCCATAGCTTATATGAAGTAATCTTGCCAATAACATTTGGTAATCCAGCAGCATTTGTTGAACAAGGCCTAATCGCTGATGAGAACTGGGAGGTAAAAAAAAACGCTCCAGTGTTTGCTTGAACAAAATACTGCTTTATAATATTCGTCTGGAAAGGCAAGGGGCTGATGGACCAACACATAATTGTATTCGTGAGTCGAGACACGGAGCGGGGTTCTGCGTACACCTGCTCTTCCAGAAGAGGCGAGGTGAAGAGGTAAAGCTCCCGCTTCACGGTGTTGTCCTTTAATCTTCTGGAGCGAGTCGGCAGAGTTTGAACGCTTAAGTAGGGTTCAGTGTAACAGCTCGGCAAAGCCCTTTGGCCAGCTACATTAAACCCCTTCACATGTGACATTTTCCTCCGACAATAAATTGTTCTCTTTAAGGTTAAAGACCGTGGGAGCTTGTCACTTAAGGCATTTTTGTGCACACGACCGCTAACCTCGATGTTAAAATTATGTAAGGCAAAGCCAAGCAATCCCTACATCGATTAATAAAATAATTAAGCAGGCAGACTGTCTGCTTCACATATCAGGTCTCTCTAAGTAAAAAAACAAATTCTTACGCAACCCATTAGCTGCGAGACCTTATGGGACTGCATGATTTCAGCAGCATTGTTTATTTAACGTTCCTATACTTTGCACTCCTCATCGTGTTTTTTTTTGCATTGTTGTTGTAACGTTCTGATCTGCCCCTACTGGACATTTGTCTAAAAAGAGCTTTATATCTCATCGTATTTCCGCCAGTATAAATACAGATTCTGATTCTGAAAGTGTGAGGGATTCTGTCTCTTCCAAGAAGTCTGGTCAGCATGAAAAGATCTCTCGAGCTCAATTATAAGCCTCGATGAAATCTGTGCTCTGGGTCAAACAATTGCAGGGCTGCACCTTTACCTTTACTTGAACAAAAATATATTGTTGTTCTTTGTATAAATAAACACTGACTTTGTCCTTGAGTTGTTCCTCTGCTTTTGAAAGCAAACGTTCCTTCCAGCCCTTTGGGGCAAAGGGGACCTCAACCAAACCGGAGGTCTCTTGGCAGGGTTGGCTTTTGGTCGTCCTTGAATTTAAAAAAAACATTATACTCACACGTCAGGGCCAGTGTATTGTTTTATGACAAAGTGCGGTGTGCTGTGATTAATGGACGCGCAGCAAAGCAATCGATGCACAATTCATCACGTTCTTGTTAACACGCGGCACGCAAAGTGTCATTTGGAGAAGAAAAAAAAAGCGGCCGCTATTACGTCGGCAGGCGGGAGCGAACCGAGAGGTCTGACTTTAATTTATCTCTGCGTTTTAATGACAAGTCTTCAAGCTAAAATTTACAAAGTCACATTAGTGCACATTACCCACCACCTCCCAACCTCAATCCTGCACACACCCTTCCCTTGTAATTTATATTTTTAGCAAAATTAATGAATCGTTCGCGTAATGTGGCGGCCCTTATAAGCTATCGGCCCTGCAACATTTTTTTTTGCATGGCACGATCAATTCTGCCAATAAGCACACACATCACCGCTCTTATTAAACATCATCAGTTTGATGAGAGAATTATAGATCCGTAACACTGATTCGCTCCGTCACACTCGCTCACTGGCGGTCAGTCGCCTGCTTATGGCTCTTTCATCGCTACCGTTGCTGTGAAATTCACCCATTGCTTCCTCCACACGTGCTGAGGGCTTGGTCTTCCACAGTTTCGTCACATCCACACTCTGTTCCACACTGCAGGTCACAAAGACAAAGGTTCCCCCGTATAGCCTGGACAGACTGTTGGGGAAAGTGCTGCCAGCGAGTAGCACCTATGAAGGTCTGGACGGCACAGCCATCGCCGTTGGTGGACTCGGGGAGGAGGCCCGGGACCAGTTCAGATAATCTTTCTGGTGTTGGCCATGAGCGGGATTCGAACTCGGGTGGCCGGGTTCGTAACGCAGCGCGCTAACCGCTCCCCCACCGCTCCCCACGACAACACAGTGAACACACGCACCACACTGCAAGTGCCACGGCCTTTTCTTTCTGATTCTGCCCGCGCGCTGGATAAAACGAGCGCCACTTTGGGAAGTCAACAGTGGTCTTGTGGGCAGACTGACCCCCCGCCATAGGAATGTGGAATTCCCACCACTGCCTCTTGTGTATTGCCGCATTAAATTACCTGCGTGCCGTAACTGTGTGGGTGGGGAGCGGTGGCACAGCGGTTAGCGACCCGGGCCAAACACCAGTGACGATTATCTGAACCGGTTTTGAGCCTCCCCTAGATCGACTCAGCCCCAAATGAGTACTCGGTGTGGTGTGCAAGGCTTCAGAGGTGCTTGCTAACAGATATACGGGGGAACGGGGGGGGGGTGCTGGGGGGCTTTTGTCTTTGTGGGGAGCGGTGGTGCAGCGATTAGCGCACTGCGCTACGATCCCGGCGACTCGAGTTCCACTCCACCACCAATTGCAGTGCCAGTGAATATTTGAACTGGTCCTGAGCCTCCACGAGGTTGACTCAGCCTAAAATTGGCGAGTGCCTGGCGTGAAAAGTGAACGCCGCCACTAGAGAGACAAAGGCGTCCGGGCGTGGTGTTATTAGGTGGCACTCTGGAGGGCCAAAAATTCCAAGCGGCCAGCAACAAACAGCTCCGCGTGTTGACACAATAATCCCCTGTGGGCTGGTGTAACCAGGAGGTTCCTACCAGTATTAGGTGTGACATGTAAATGCGTCTACCCCGTTAACACAGCTGTCAGCACACGCGGTATTCTTGTGTCTATTTGTGTCGTGTTTCTCGCTTGTGATGGGACTTTGTTTGGATGAACGTTGAGATGTATAAGGGCACGGGGTGACCAACAAGGTGTGAAGTGGTCTGTAACAAGGTAGGGCACTGATAAAGGGTTGACAGTTACGCATTAAAAGTTAAACGCCCATTGATGTTGCTACTCTAACTTGGGCTAAAGGTGCCGCGAGTGACGTTACCGCGTGGCATCTCATTAACAATTTATAGATTTTACAACCCGCAATTATACAATACGAAGCATTTCGTTATTTTAAAAAAAACGTGGTAATTATGCCGGTAACAGAACGGTTATGTTAAGGCAGCAAAGCTATAAAGACGTCACCCCGAGTGTATTAATATTCAAGCTACGCCGACTTAACCGCGTACAGGACGATCGCTCTAGTCGAGTAGCAAGGCCCGTTGCATTCGCTAGAGCGGATGCGCAACGAAGCGACCCCATTGGTTGGCTTGTCAGAGCGGTCCAATGAAGGCGGAAGTCGCCGCGACCCGAGAGCCAATGGGCGATCACGAAGGAAGGCGCGCTCGTTTATCCGTAGTGGGAAATACAACGCGGGGCCGAGTAGGCCGCGAGGAACCGACGGCAGAAACGTGAAGAGCAGCAGCAGCAGGAGAGAGGAGCAGCAGCAGGAGGAGGGGAGCAGCAGGAGGGGAGCAGCAGCAGGAGGGGAGCCGCAGGAGGGGGCAGCAGCAGGAGGCAGCAGCAGCAGGAGAGCAGCAGCAGGAGGAGGGGAGCAGCAGCAGGAGGGGAGCAGCAGGAGGCAGCAGCAGGAGAGAGGAGCAGCAGCAGGAGGGGAGCAGCAGCAGGAGGAGGGGAGCAGCAGCAGGAGGCAGCAGCAGGAGAGAGGAGCAGCAGTAGGAGGCAGCAGCAGGAGGGCAGCAGCAGCAGGAAAGAGGAGCAGCAGCAGGAAAGAGGAGCAGCAGGAGGAGAGGGGAGCAGCAGCAGGAGGGCAGCAGCAGCAGGAGGGCAGCAGCAGGGGAGAGGAGCAGCAGGAGGGGAGCAGCAGCAGCAGCAGGAGGAAGCAGCAGCAGAGAGGGAAGCAGCAGCAGCAGGGGAGAGGAGCAACAGGAGGGGAGCAGCAGCAGCAGGAAAGAGGAGCAGCAGGAGGAGAGAGGAGCAGCAGCAGGCAGCAGCAGGAGGGGAGCAGCATCAGGAGGGGATAGAGTAGCAGGGGAGCAGCAGGAGAGAGCAGCAGCAGGAGGAGAGAGGAGCAGCAGGAGGGGAGCAGCAGGAGGAGAGAGGAGAAGCAGCAGCAGGAGAGGAGCAGCAGGGGAGAGGGGAGCAGCAGCAGCAGAGAGGGGGAGCAGGAGGCAGCAGCAGGAGAGGAGCAGCAGCAGCAGGAGGCAGCAGCAGCAGTAGGAGCAGCAGCTAGAAGGAAGTTGAAGAAGCATCTGTAAGGCGTCGTCCTCCTCCTCGTCATCGTCATCAGGAAGGAGGCAATGGGCGATCAGCTGGGCATCCCCGGCGGACTTGACGCCTTCTCCCAGGCCATCGCATCCGTGCACCAGCTGCGCTCCAGCGTGAGCCGTCTCTTCAGCAGCCTCAAGGACGGCATGAGGAGCAGGGAGACGCTGGAGGAACGCGAGAAGGAGTTCGCCCTCGAGTTCCAGGAGAACCTCAACGGGGTCAACAGAGACCTCAAGTGCGTCCACATGCGTGGAGTTGACGGCGCCGTCGTGCGTGTTGTCAATTTGCTTTGCGGTGTTTTGGGTTAGAAATGTTAGATGAAGGTTGTTTCGAGTCGTGTGTGTGTGTGTGGGTTGTTTTGTTTAACTGCGTGAAGAGAAACGGTTACCGGTTTTCCCCCCACTCTCCCCCCCATTCCCGTCTATCAATAATCTACTTTTTAAAACGTTGTAAGTTTTTAACTCCGGAACGAAGGCAGATTTACCACGCGGTGGCTTTGGCCGCCGTGCGGTTTATTCATTCAATGCACCAATCGGCGCATTCACAACTTGACGTTGAATTGTAATGAATGATTACGGGCTGCCTGAATTTCGAGATTGGGTGATCGATTTTTACAACGATTATCAGTTTGATGGTTATCGGTCAACGTCCATAATTTAGATACAAGTCCCCAGTTACTCTGACTTTTGTTATCCGTCTTCTGTATAAATAAAGACCTTAACCTGTACGTCTCAAAAACCTCTAGCGTACTTCCCGACAAGGTATAAAGCTGACATTTTGGTACAGAGGTAGTTTTTAGGATATAAAGAACTGGATAAATATGAAAATCCGAGATTTTTCATTTTAAGGCCCTCAAATCTCGATTTTAAGTGCCCCATGAACATGTGCGTGTCATTCAGAAACCACCGTTTAAAGTATTATATTCCGGTTGTTTCGTTTGATAGAGCCTTAAACAGCAAATACAATTGAAGCGAGAACCATTGCTTTTATTGTTTTTGAGATTTCGGATTCAACCGCGTTTGAGCGAAAAAAATACACATTTTATGAGCTTCCCCTCGTAGACGATTACGTTCATAAACGTTTGTTCTCTAATCAAAAAAAGAACGGAATCTTTAAATTGAGCGGTTTCCGATGGGTACGTCTTTTAAATATAAAAACATTTGCAGAAAAAATACACGTTTTTGGAGTAGTTGCTAGTGTCTGATCGTAGATAGAAATTGTAAAAAAGAACAGTTTAATTATTATATTTATTGCACAACTTTTGTCTGGCGATGAAAGGCTTTACGAACTTGTTTATGAAATTACAAATGTAATTCATCATCTCGAGCAAGCGCCCCCATTCAAAGCTAGTTGAGAGAGAAACAAACAAAAATCTTGTTTACATTTTTCTCGGATCTATATGGTGTCCACAAACAGGACCAAATTTACAGGTCAGATATTATGCAATCCTGTAGTGTGTAAACAATACGTGTCACTTGCTTCGTTGACCGTGGCCCCGTTACAGATATTTTAACGGGATCTTTAAGGGTTCACGCCCGCTAAGTGGGTTGGAAGCCGCAAGGTCATCATGTGTGAAGGTTAGGGCAGGACCCGATGGAATTGATTGGTTTATTGCAATTGATTATTGCGCTCACGCGGTCAGTGATAATGATACATATAGATTATTAAGAATATCTTTTCGCCCGGAGGAAAATGTGAAATAGGCGCTCATTTCGATATAAACCGTTTATCCGGTTGACACGGGGATCAGCGATGTCCCTGAGCACCATCCTGCCTCCTATATTGCTTTTAAGTTCAGGGAGGCAAGTGTTTGTGTCAGAGGGGCCACCCATTTTAACATTCCGGTTGTGAAGCCCCTGGCACACATCTATGCGAAATGTCAGGCTGCAGTATGTTTACGTACAGACAATGGCGGTGTTTTATTTGTTACCTAAGATAGTGTGTGTGTGTGTGACCAAATTGCCATGAATTCTCCCGATCTCGTCAGATCTCGGAAGCTGTGCATGGTTGAGTTTGGTTACTTACTATGCACTTGGATGAGTGACTCCCAGGGCTCGCCAGATGTTGGTCTGCGAGATGTGGTGACGGAGGCGATAGTGGCCGAGTGTCACCCAACTAGTATTTTCCTTTATATTATATTACTTTACCAGGTAAGGCCTACTGAGTTATCTAGATAATTTTCAGAAGCGACCTGACCACAAATGATAGCTCAACGAAGTGGCTTATCATGTGGACATTTATTGCAGCCAAATACTCTAAACGCGTGATGTTCATTTTAAACGTGGAGGGAAAAACTGGAGGATCCGAAGAAAAAAATCCACGCGACCACGCGGAGAACATTACAACTCCAAATATACAGGCATCAGGGTCGGGATCGAACCCACGACCTCCTGTGTATCAGGCGAGGTAGTTAACATCTCGCCACCAAATGCATGGGTTTTCTCTGGTTTTTCGAGTTTCTTCCCATAATAGTATTGGCCAATCATCCTTATGCAGTAGCCTTCATAAAAACAAGCCTAAAGACATTTTAATAAATAATAATGATGGCTTTTTCACCAAGGGGGTTGCCCTCGGTGGAAATCATTTACAACGTTTTCAACGTTAAAGGCTCTTAATTTAATATAAAATGAGGAATGGCTCCAACATTCTATAGCAGTGAATGGAATATGATTGATGATGATGGATACTGTACCTGTTTATTGTTTAATCACTGTGATTATTTTAAACATACGATGACTATTTTGTAATGATGTAAGCATTCAATGACTAATGTTGTCCAACCGTCCGTTCATCGATAGATGAAGAGAAGAAGGTGATGTTTAAGATCGCGATTTTAATGAAATTATTTGAGATTGTCACACGGTTCGCGGCGCTCTTGGTGTTCTGACAGTGACCTGGACCGTCTGTGCAACCTCGTCGGCCGTCCGTCGGAGAGCCACCCCCTGCACAACAGTGGCCTCCTCAGCCTTGATCCCGTGCAGGACAAGACTCCGATCTACAGCCAACTTCTGCAGGCTCACAAGTGGTCGAACAAGGTACGGGCAGACCCGTTACGTGCCATGTTGCCCCATGACGTACCACGTTTCTCCTGACAGCTGAAAGGCAAAGTAGGGCTCGGTTAGCGAGTGGTCTTGGCCTGGATTCCCCACGGTAGGTAGGCACAAGTGCCGAGCTGCCACTGCCTCGGCTGTACGGCTCTTATTAGCTGTGCTGCCTGGTTCGTTTCTATGAGGGTGCTTCACGCTTCAAGCACCCCGACAGGCCTCTGATTTGCCCCTAAATTGTCATGCGGTTAGACTCGTGTTGAGCGTCAATTCTCGTTCCAGGACTGTGGTTTGTGTAAGAATGCAGTGGTTGATTATAGAAGTAATAATATTCGTGCTTCAAATAGCTTGATCCATCCCAAGTATATATGTTAAATGTAAAAAAAAATCAACATTTACAATCCCCTTACCTGCAGAGGTAAGGGAAGGCTTAGAGCACAGAAGGATGGAGTGGGCGGGTTGGAAACCAATGATCCCACGTGGCTCTTAAAGCACTGGAAGAAGAAATGAGCCATGCTCAGTCATTTTTAGTAATGGCTCACCGTGGCTCGGCTTCTGTGATTGTGGTGGAAATGTAGCGTGAATAAACCTTGTAGCAACCCCCCCACATCCCACAGGTTGCTGAATTATCTTTATTCGTAGGTCAAATCGGTTTCGTCTTCGCCTACTTGTTTCGTTTGTCTTGTTTGCATTGTTTCTTTTTGTAACCTCCGTCTCATCTGTTCCATTATTTTTCGACCTACCCTTTAGCGTATAAGTTGCATACATCTAAGATTACTGAATCTCACATGCGTGGTTATCGTGAGCGTGGTCATTATTTTAAATCCAACAATAATTTCGTGCCTATTTAAAATATATATATCACTACCCAAAGTGGTATTATATAAACATGGTTCATTTTTTGAAGCGCACGTGTATATATATTTTTCACAAACAAAAACACATTCTTAAACATCACTCACGCATTAAGCTTCAAGATAACTCGATATACGCAGGGCAGGGTGTCCTGGGGGGAGATGTTTTATGAGAAAAGGTGTCCGGCCAATAAATATCGGGGACTTATTAAACCACTTGTCCGGCAACAGAAGAAGAAAAAGTACTTCAAAAGCACATAATCTGTTTTTTGGGGGAGAAGAAGGTGGTGGGGGGGGGGGAGAAGTCGCTGCTCCCGAAGTTAATTTACCGTGTGCTCCTGTAACAGAGACACTTGCGGCACCGCGGCTTCGTGTCTCTCGGATGCTTAATAATTTTGCAGTGTTTCATGCGCTCGCGCATTAACCCCTTTTCACGCCGACGAATAAACGTGAATCCAAACAGTGACGCCGGGGAGTGCGTGTCGACGGGCGGGCTGGACAAATGCGTTCAGCTGGTAAAATGCGGCTTGACCGAACGCCGATGTTTTATTAAGCATTGTTGATTGTTGTGTCTGGCACGTGAACACATGTGAACGTTTTATTTACAAAATCCACTGACCTGGCGTCGCTGTAATTCTTCCCGGTTGTGTACGAATGGATTTAAACATCAACAACAAAAATTCTGCCGCTCCCTCTCTGCGTTAAATCTTTCTGCAAAGTGATGGGAAAGCTCCACCAAGCATCGTGCGGTACCCGTGTAGCCATCTAAAACTGCGCTTGTTCGTTCGCCATATTAAATAATTCTCGGTGAACTCGCTCAGCCGACGCTTGTCTCATTTTTTTTTTTAAATGCTGCTTTGTTGGGATGCTACGTCGCTAATGAGCTTTTCCGGTCGTAAGCACATTCTTTGCAGCGCCACCACCTTGATAATTGGCAGCCGCGCTTGTACAAGCGTATTCCTCGTGCACCGCTTGCGCTGAGGGGCACGCACAGCTTAAACAGAAACCCTCCTCATCATTTACATGCAGAAGCTGCTACCCTCCCCCCCTAACCACGGTCGTCTTGACATGGGTGGATCGATGCCCCCCCCCCCAGCTTCCCCGGATCAATGACCACCCTTGACAGTGGTATCAAACAGGTGGCCTAGTGTGAAGGATTGGGTCCACCGTCGGAATTATTGCACCGCGCAGTAGTTTTATAAGCCCTTTTTAACCCGGCCATTATTACGAGCGTTCGCTGCCTCCCAGGGATTGATCATCCTTGCCCCGGCCAGGGGATGTGGGGGGGGGGTGTCGCCGACAGCCACGGAGACTCGTTAATTTGGCCCGAGTACGGTGGCCACGTGCGCAGAATGTGCTCGCCTGTCCACCCGCTCGCTCCTTTTTTGCTTTGGCATCCGGGAAACAAAATAATGCTGACGTCCCCAAGATGTGTTTTCGAAAGTTGCTGCGTTTGCATAAAAAAAAGGCGTAACATTTGTACACGGCTGTGCGCTTGAAAGTCGAGAAAATAATTCCTGTACATGATGAGTTGAATAGGATATGTATGTAGATATTTAATGTTTTGTAGGAATGGAATTACGACTGCTACTGAAAGAGATTGGGGCAGAGCTAACCCCAACTGCCCAGAGCTATGAATTAATTGCAGCTTATTCAGGGCTGTAACTGTTGCATAATACCTATTGTCGATATGTTATTTGTACAGTCTTTTAGTCACTCCACTGTTGAAAGAAGGCTTCCCCACGTTTAGTCGGGCTTGAAGGACGTTTGACCATATTTCGCTGTTCGTTGTGGGTTTTGGTGAAGTGGAGGGGTGGTGTCCAGGATCGGTTAAGATATCACTTGCCTCTGATGTTCACCACGGCTGGGAATCGATCTCAGGTGACTGGGTTTATAGCATAGTGCGCTAACAACTGCGCCAACGAGTCTCCGTGGCTCTGGATATCTGTGAAAAAGATCTTTTTAGCTCCTCAAATTCCTCCAGGGTAAATTTAAGATTCTGATTCTGAAGATTCAGAAACATTTAGTTTACTGTATATAAAGTATAGAGATATGTTAATCTTCATCACCCTGTTACTACAATCATTTGTAAAGGTTCTAACTATCATATTATTGCTTCTTTCGGTAAAGTCACGTAGATAGAAAACAAAAATCAAAATTAAAAGCAAAAAACCCACGACGTTTCGATCACAACACAAGGCGGTCTTCTTCTCTCCACCTGAAGAAGGCCGCTTTGCGTTGCGATGGAAACGTCGTGGGTTTTTGGCTTTGAATTTGGATTTTTTTTTCTATCTACGTGACTTTACCGAAAGAACCAAGAATATGAATACATGCAGTCACGAAAGTTTTAAGTCTGAAGTTCTATTTCGATTTAAAGCTTTCGTGACTGCAGGGATTCATCTTCTTGGTTCTTTCGGTAAAGTCACGTAGAAGGGAAGTAATAAAATAATAAAAATAAAACATAATAAAATAAAATAATTCTCACGACGTTTCGGCTACAACGCAAGCAGCTGTCTTCAGGTGAAGAATGAGACACTACCAAGCTAGGAGCTTATATATAAGCTGCGTTGGAGGTGGAAGAGTTCTAGTTATTATTCGCTACGAATATTGAATGCAATTTACCCACTGCAGCTGACCAAACGTGTTCAGATTGCGCAGCGCCGAATCGTTTCAAGTGACACTGGGGCAAGTAAGGCAACGCATCGAGAAGGAGCTTGCAGGAACAAATGAACCCTTGACCCCGCTCGTAACACTTGACCCATCTATAATAACCCCGCTAATAGACTGCATTCAAACCATCGGGTGATATTTGCACTTGACACATTAAGCGGCGGCATTAGTTTGAACATGCTTAATTGCTGTCCGGACTCATTTAGTGTCCGTTGTAAACAGCTGGCTTTTCTGAAGGTGCCACACATCAATAGCTTGCGTGGTTTTTGTAGGGAAGTTAGTAGAGCTGGTAAGAGGGTGAAAATTACATACAAAATATTGCGGACACCCAAAAGAGACACGGGTGTTTGTGTAGATGAAGCTAATGGTAGTGGGAATCAAATCAATTGATAATTTTGTTCTCACCTACAAATGAGTTTGAATGGATTTGTTTTCTCCCTGTTAAATACTTAATGAACAAATAAATAACTTCAATTGATCAATTGGCTTTTGGAGGAGGGGGGGGGGAATCCCGAAAAACAAATTCGCCTCGCACCTAATGAACGTAACCCGAGCATTCATAACGGTATTGACAGAAGGGTTAACGTTTTTTTATGCAGTCGTTTAACGTGCCAAGAGTGTGGCCTTTAATTAAAGTTAAATGTTTTAAAAAGGCGGGCGGGCGGGCGGGCGGGCGCAGGGACAACTCGATATGCCCCTTGAACGAAACGCCGAGATAGGAGGAGAGGCGAGCAGGGGGCTGCCCCGTAAGAAGAAAAATGATGGCTACTAAGCGCTGGGAAATTTTCGGTAATGAGCCCCGTGGGATGGTCACGCAAGTATTCGCGCGTGCAGCCAGGGAAGGGCCTGGCCAGTTTTCACGGTCCTCGTGGATGAGAGCGCAGTGGAGAGCCGTTTTTTTTTGCCTTGAAGCAGATGCCCCGTCAGTACACGGAGATAGGGACAGCCTCTCCCGATTTGTTCACCTAGTCCATTGCTAGGCCGGGTTTTCGGTTCAATTACTCGGCTGACCGAGTAACGTGAAAATTGTTGGTTACAAAAAGACCTTCGCTTCCGCTGCAACACGTGTCACGCCGGATGACGACAGGTGCTGGGCTTGGTGATGTCATCGCCACGCCCAGCTGCGTCACGCTGGGCGTGTATTGCAGGGGGTTTCTCGCCTTCAGGAGGAATGTTGACTTCATCAACAAATCTTCCCTGATGCAGACAGAAGACCTCTATCACCGCGCAATCCTTTAGCCCCCCTCAAATTACATAAATAATCACGATTTAATCCAAGAATTCATTTGCTCTCGGTTCATTTGTACAGTCTGCAATTTGTTGTCCTCTCTCTTGTCAGCTGTTTGTTCTGTCACGTTTAGGTAAAAGTTAAAGGTAAGGGTGCAGCCCTGTTGATGGAAGGGCCTCCACTATAGGGAACTCTAGAGGGTATTTGACCTACTCTTCCATGCTGTCTTGCTCATTTAA